AATTGGCAAAAATTCAGAGTTAATAGTTCTATTTTTATAAGTGTATTTCACTCTATTCTTACAATAAATGTAAAGAACGAAATTGGAGTCATTTTTGGGACAATTTTTATAATGTCCCAGAGGCTTCATGTAAAGTACTTACAAATCTGAAGAATTTTTTTTAAACGTAAAGCTTTAAGTCGAGCCAGAATGATTAGGGAATATTTATTTGCAATATTCAAATACCGCAAATAGCTTTGTCGCTAGTGTTGTTCGCACAATAACGGACAGACGGGCGGTCGGAAAGACGGATGCACGGAGAGGCAAATTGGCAGGGAGACCGACGGACAAACATGTCGGAGAAAATCTTTTTAGATACGTACCTTTGCAGAGATTTTTTAATAGATATCATTAAGGAAAAAGCCTCTTTTGTGAAATTTTATTTATATATTGCAAATTTTCGAAAACAGAAAGAGAGTTGACGAAAACTACCACTATTTCCATTTTTTTTTGTTCTATCCGTGGGAAAAAATGAAGCAAAAACTTCGAACATTTTTCACAAACTTCACTACTCATATTTACAAAAATATTGAATATTACCTATTTTAAACATCTGACTTTGACGAACTGATTTCATTAAATGAAAATCTCTATCTTCAATACTTTTCATGTAGGAAGGCACCTTTTTGTAGGAAGATGATTGTGAAAAATTCAGAGATTTCACCAAAAATGCGCCCGATCCCAATTTTAAGCGTCCTTTTCCCAAAGAAAAATTTTACTCAACAAATTTCGGGAGATTTTAAAAATATTTTTGATTTATGTAATGCGCCTCCTTAAACATAAATTTCTCAAGCCTGCAGGGCTTCGCGTTTGGCCAGATTGTTCGAGGGATGTTACTCGCGCGATAACGCGATTACGGTAACCTTGCTTACCCCTCTCTGGCACATTAGACAGTTGAAGGCAAAAGCTCAAAGCAAGCACTAATGACAACATTCCAAACACATCTTCACTGGTGCGAAATAGAAACAATTTGTTGTTGAAGACGAGTACTTTTGTCCGTGATGTTCTCCAAAAAATGTAAAGAAATGACCGAAGCAGGTGAATATCCATCACAGAAGATATCTCAAACTCCTGTGAAAGTTAAAGCGCAAATTATTGAGAAAGTTGCGAATGTATGACTGATTCTCCAGAGATTGGCATTTTTTCATAAAATATAGTGGTTGATTTCGTACTCTATCCCTACTTTACGCGAGTAATACCAATAATTTTGTAAAAAATCGAATGAACAGTTTAGACACTAGCGTTACCACAAACCCAGAGGCATATGCTTTTCTGTCAACGAATATTTCGGTACTAAGGTCCAACAAAACGTGTTAAAAGAAGTAATTTATTACATACAAAATACAAACATACAAAAAAACGATATGTATCCACTTTCTCAATATCAAAGTATCACAACACAAGTTTTCTGTTGAAGAACTGTTTTTGTGTCAGTATTATAGAATTGTCTCTTTACTTCGTAAGGACGTACGAAGGAAAGAGTATACAACTTAATATTGATTGTGAAACACTCAACTATTCGCTATTGCACAAATCATTACGGCTGTTGAAAAACAGTAAATTTCTGGAACGTTAAACCACAGATTGCAATTTGACATATTATTGTAAAATTCGGTCACTCAGTTTTTACTGTGTAGGTAGACAATTAAGCTGTACCACAAACCATTCTGGGTATAACCAGTGCACAAGTTGTCAGCTACATTGATCTGTTCGATCACCGTTCTTAAGTGCACGCAAGACGTGCTAGACTGTGGTTGAAAATACAAGATTGTAGCACGTAATAATCTTGATGTAGCATGGCAGCCCTTCCCTCCTTTCTACTTTGCAAGAAACCAGTTTTAGTGAAGGTGGTCATTTTCACAGAAGTTAATTTCTTTCCTGGAGGTCCTGAGGTCAACTCCACGTGTCTGCACTCGCCACTGCCACGTCACTGCTTCTGACTGTCCAGAACATATGCCAGTCGACATCTAGCGTGTTCATTTGTTGGGAATTTTAGTGGACATGACCACTCATGTGGCCATGAAGAATAATGCGACATGAGACAACTCCTTTCGCTTTATATTCTACCTAGAAACAATTTATCGCCATTATATGCTAGTGAATCGTAATTCCGAAAATTTAGTATGAATATTATTTGGTTACATAGTTATTATCAAATGTTTATATTGTAAGAAGTATTTTGTTATTAGATGTCTTGGCAACGAAAAAGCTTTGGGGCTTTTGAAAATTTCAGTAACGTTTGTATGAATTCATTCTTCATTCTCAGATTATTGCAATTATATAGCCAGTCGCAAGATTATTAATCCATCTTCATGGAAATATGTAAAATATTCAGTATGTATAAATTTTCATATTTAATGTCAAGTTCATGGTTATAACAATTGTAATGTAACACTAACTTGCTGCCAGCCAATAATATGTACTCCTGGTTGTTGGTTAGTTCTAAAATCATCAATAATGACACAAAGTAGCCTAGATATATTATTTCCTGGAAACATTTTGTTAATTGTTGAGTATCTCTTAGCTGTGTCAAAAGGTCAGTGTGGTATGTGAAGTTGGTTTTCGTGAAATTAATTGTGGTTTAGTTCATTCAAGCAATTTTTTCAAGGATACGTTTTCGCAGTTCTCTCAGGACAAAATGATCAATTAAAATTTGTAAATGTTGACATCGGCATGATAAAAGACCTCCCAAATAAACAAAAAGATGTTATAACTCATCTTTAACAAAAGAGAACTATAATAAAGGTGAAACCAGGATAACAATCACTATTACATATTATTGGTTGACAGTAAGTGAATATTGAATTCCAATTGTTAAATAACTATAAACTTTACAAGAAATATGGACACTAAAAGCATTCTGATTATTTTAAATATTTTCTTGGAGATGGACTAATAATCTGGCCAGAGACTGTAGCTTTCAGTCTAAAATAAATGCTCCGGGTTGACCTTAGTACTTCATCCATATTCATACGACAGTCTGTTTCCTGCTATGAATTTAGTAATTGTTTCTTGCTTTTTTCAGTTGACGTTCTTCAGGAATCCCTGATTATTTTTCACCAGCTTTATATTTCTACATTCATCACTGTTCCTGTTTCGGCTAATATCGGAGTGCGAGGGACCAGTCATGCGGCCATGAGAAAGTGATACGTCATCGCACAAACTGCTGACACGTCCTTTTGCCTTCCACTCTAGATACGAATTATTACGCTCTTTTCTAGTGATTCAGAACTTGAATGAAAAGAGGGTATTAATCTCATTCTGCTGTGTAATTGCTGCTGTGATAAAACTTATACTACAATATTGTATTTCAAACCAGAACATTTTCCACCAACGTCTGTTAACCAGCAATACAAATTTCAGAGCATTAGCAGATAAGTAAAACTTGCCAATTCTCAATGTGTTATAATTATGGTTCTTCTCTAAAATTATTTTGTACATTGGTAGTGTGGAATTAGCTGATCTACTAATATTACGGCAGCCTCTGCCTAACCAAGCATTCGCTTCTTCCAACATCATAGAAGATTGAAGACAGAGCAAATTGAAGATATTTTATTCGTCACCAGTCCTCTCAAACGTTATAACACTACGTATTACTCCGTATATACGTACGTATACAAAAAGTAAATATGCTGTAAATTCCCAAAAAATGAGCCTCCTACAGAGCAATATGTTGCCCAGATACAATGAGGAACGTATTTTTCATCTTTTATTTTTATAAGCTTCTATTGCATGTATCAGGCCGAAAAAATATTGCAGAGACGGACAAAAATAGATGAATTTGAAGGTATTTTTGTCAACCAATTTTGACGCCAAGTTAACTTATAATAAATAAATAATTAATAATAAATCCTAAATCAATGATTAAACCGTCGGCGATTCACGCTTACTACAAAACGCACCGCAGACCGCACACTGATGATATTTAAAAAGCACCAGTTTGCCTGACTGATTCCGTGCGCGTCGTCTGTTAATGTCATTCGTCTCGTAAGTGTAGTGCATGTTTTCATCTCGGAAGGTGGCGTTGACCATCCCTCGCTGATTGGGGAAAACCGGTGCCGGCCTACGCCGGTCTGTGATTTTTCCCTAACAAGGTACCCCCCCCCCACCAGCGGGGCACCGCTCGAGCCGCGACAAGCTCTAAGCCCCCTGCTGATCTCCCGACATGTGTGGGTGTGCAGTGCACGTGAGTGTGTGGGCAAGTTGGGGGGTGGAGAAAGGACAAGGAAGAGGTAGGTGAGATCGCGCGCGGTCCGTGGCCCGATTGTTACGGTACTGCTCCGGAATTCGCCTGGTGTTGATCGTAGAAACCAGGGAAACTACAGACCCGTACAACCGACATCTAGGACTCGCGGGACTCGAACCTAGGACCCGGCGGTCAGGAGCACTGCAGTGGCATCAGTTGATGCCCTGAGCCACCTTTGCCGGTTTAAAACATGGACGCTCGTTAGAAGCTGTAGCGAAGTTGCGAAACCAATCCTGCCTGCGCGGAACTCCAACCCGCGACCCGCCGAAACGAGCTCAGTCTTACACCCGTTTCTCAACGGCCTCGACCATCGCGTGGGGTGAAGTGCACTTATTTTGTGCGACCGCTCACTGCTAGTCGCAGCGCCAACTGCGCGCCACTGATATTTGAAAAGCGCTTAGTTCCGGAGGGTCCGGAGGGCGGTGGCAGCTGTGATGCAACGCGTTTCTCCAAAGCCCACGTCACCTCCCTGCGGCCGCCGAAGACCGCCCAATGGAGCGAGGTCGCCCGCGCCGAGGTCGTTGCAGGCGGCGGCCAGCGCTGGGTGGACAGGGCAGGAAGGCGCGTGTGCAACTTCTTTGGAGCAACCCGCACGGCGTCGGTTTTTCTACTTTCGCTCGTTACTACATTTATTTATTTAACATCAAAATCAGTTTTTTTTGTATTCAACGAATATTTACTCTCTATTTTAAATGTGAAATATAAAGTAAATACTCTAAACGATTATTAACAATATCAAATGGAATAAAATTAAGAAAGTCACCCTTTGATATGTTTCTTGGGATTCTTCTCAAATCTATAATAAAAAGATCAGTAAAAGTGAGTACATTGTTGTTAAGATCCATCACGAAGACTACAATATCACATTACTGCTCTTCAAAGAATGGTCAGGGCCGAATTTACGTACAAGCAAAACAAGGAGTTGCTTGGGGGCCCCCATTCACCAGGGGCCCCGCGTTTCGGAAAAATACGCATACCATATTTTTTGTCTGTGAAATAATTGTTAATCAAGTAGTCTACTATGTAACAAAATGTACAATTTCAAAACATTAAAAAAATGTATTACATGTAAAATTAGTCTAATATTAACTATACTTTATTTCCTTTACTTGTAACTGAATATGTAAATTTTTTATGCAAACCTTAAAATTTTTCATGCTTAAATTAACAGCTATGGGTGCTTGGGGGAAAAATTATCAGCATTCATTTGTATCTGTACAGAAAGTACTTGTACTATAATACATTTTTTATTTAATAAAGATGGAGCTATTTTTTTTGGGGGGGGGGGCAACACAATTATGTGCTTGGGGCCCCTTACTACTTAAATCCGGCCCTGAGAATGGTACAGCAAGTAAAGAACCATGATAAATGAAAGCAAATCATCACATATAACATATAACTTGTTGGAAATAATCTTGTTCACCTTTTCTTTTCAACAGAAATCAAACACCGCAAATTGAAAGAGTTAAATATCTAGGTATTCATATTGACAGACGTCTCAAGGGGAAAACATGTTCAAACAAAAAAATTTGCAGTTAAAACTAAGAAAATTCTTTTGTTTTATTGTACACAAATCAAAATTTTTGCTTGAAAATAAACTATTAAATTTTTAAAACCATTCTAATTCCTGTTTGGACTAACACAATCCAGATCTGGGGCACTGTAAGCAAAACTAATTTGTCAATTATACAAATATTTCAATGAAACGTTTAAGTATAACTTCATCTGCACCCTGATTCACAAAAAAATTCTGTACTACACCGAAACCTTAGTATAGCAACAGTTGAAGAAAAGAATCAAGAAATAAGTTCCAAATATCTCCAACGTCTACAAATGCATCCCAGTCATCTAGCTCTAAACCTACTAGACAATAGTTAAGAAATTTCCAGACTCAATAGAATTTCCACTGAGTAGAATTTCTTGCCTTCCGTTTTAATAATTATCATTTATCTAACCCTGTCCTCTTATTTTTTCTAACATGTTCATATATTCTTAATTTTCATAACCCTTAACAACCTTGAAAAAAACAGTTAAAAATGTGTGTCATACTATGGTTAGAAGCGCAATCTGTACATGGTTTCTTTAACTCTTGGGTTTCTGCAGATACTCGTAAACGTTATTCTATCAATTCTAATACATTGTAGGGTTAATACTGTAAAACTGGTGAATCATAGTAGAATGTGTTTATTTAAAGTAAAAATAACTAAATTTGTCTGAGTAGAAAGCTTAAATTGCTTTTCAAACGTAAAATCGAAGTATTTTTAATAACAAAGTTTTGTAAAAATGCATTTGCATGTAAGTGAAATTACAGTGAAAGACCTTCCCTATTAAACGACTACCCGTCTCAATGACCAATGTTTCTAGAAACGGAGAAAGAAACTCATTTATTGTATGTAAACTAGTTAACAAACCACCCTTTCCCCGACCACCGTCACTTTCTTAATCTACTTCTAACCCGTTTCAGAAAAATTGTGAGAATACGGTACACTGTATTTGCAGTAATTTAATTGAAAATTGGCAATTTTGAAAAAAGCATTCGGGCAACCTCTTCGGAGGACGGTGGGGGAGGGGTTCAGGAATTAAGTGACGATAAACCGCGGCCACTGATATATCACTCTGCTCGCTTCATTTCAGTTCCATTTATTTTACGTCAGAAGTGAACGCAACTCAACAACTAACTCTGTTAATTGACGGACTCTTCCTTACCTTCTTTTCCTGTAAGAACGTCTAGAATATCGAAATCGGGAGTCAGGCTAATCGATTTGCCTCCTGACACGCCAGTTTTTGTGTTGCGTCCAGAATCTGAGCTCCGCACTCATCCAAGGCCCATCACTTGAATTTGATGTTCTTTTTTTGGGGGAGTGGGAAAAAAATCGATGTTAACTCCCAATGAACTACACGTTTAACTGAAAAAGATTTAAACATTTATTTTTATGTAGAAGAAGGGAGGTTGAGCATCGACTCACTTTTAGCACTAGTGATAAAATTGATCTTTTAACACGTTGGTCATTCACTGAAAGTAACCGCTGACTAAAAATAATTTATTTTAACATCACTGACACTATTTTTATGTAGTGTATAGGGTAGACAATCATCTCTTGAAGAGGAGCAGGAATGAATTCTGACTGGTTTCATTAATTGATTCGTATTTCCGGGGCGCGTAAATCGCTATGCTTATTAGTCGCGTACGTGTTGTTAATGTTCTATTTCGGGATATGGCGGTGTTCGTTACTCAAGAATGTGAGTTACGATGCCAAACTATATGATGACTTCGGGGTATCCCCATGCAGTTATCACTGCCAGAGGGGCATTACCCATTCCGTATAAATGGTAAGCTGAACTCATGACATGGTAGTGAAGTGCTTGTGTGTGTGTGTGATTGTGCGCTCGTTTTTAAGAGAACAGAAGAGCTCATGGTTGTTAAAGTTAAGATCGCGTGCGGCCCGTTACCCATTTTGAGTCTCTGTTGCCACTCTCTAGCCCTCTTTAATACAAATCCCGTACAGAACTAGTTGGTACTTCTTAACTGAGGTTGCTTTTCACCTTGTCAACGTGCTCCATTCTCTGTCTGCCAACCATCTCCACATAATGAAACTATTTTCTAACATTTTTATTGACGCCTAAGGTAAAAACAAATATGATACAAATGTGTTCCGTTTTTAATTGATTAATTTTTGAATACTAATATTGTTCCAGTAGTAGTCACGTAAAAATTGCTTAATTCTTAAATTCGACTCATTAATGGTTATTTGCCAGTCTACCGTTTGAACGTGTCTGGGACCTAACGGACATAATTGCAATTTCAATATTAATACGGTATATTTGGGTTTTACTTTCTCGCACTTACTTCGTAAGAAAGGAAAGTTATGAAATCGTGCGCAGGCAAACGGCGAATTGTCGGCAGAAAAACTCTTATTGCAGGACCCTGATAATGAAAAAGAGAATAAATTCTGTTTTTGTGTATTATAAATTGCATAATTTAACACGTGGCGTTGCCAGAATCAATGTTTTGTGGGTACATGGTAGCAAACAATTGATTGACTACAAAACGTCTGTTCTGGAATTCTCCAACACCGTAGAGAGAAGTATTTCGACAACAAGAAAATATTGACATACTTCTAGTGTCCCAAACACGTGATATAAGCTATATACTGCCCTCCAAAGCACAGGATAACAACTGATTTTAGTATGATTTATTTATACGTGCGTTTGATGTAAATCAACTGTTGATGGTTTCATCCAATTGGGAGCTTACATGTCGTATATCGCTGATTTACTTCAAATGTACTAGTAAATAAATACAAGTATAATTTATTAACTTTATTAGAACACTCAGTTTGAAGTTTATTGCTGGAGGAGGCTGCAATGCGAAAAATCGACTCTGGGAATCAAGCCTTGCAACCAAGTGGCCGCCCTTTGCAAGGAGTCATTTCAGCACTAACTCCTATCAATTTCATCATACAATCATACATCATGCAATCAATCGAAATCCTACGTACTGGCCAACTGGTTTCAACAAAGTACAATGTTCAATTGTATGTATGTTTGTATTTATATTATTGTTATGATAATCGCAATGTAATTCAATTTTATGTATGGTCAACGATTTAACAATAATATATAGAAAGAACCATTACTAGATAGCTTCTTTAACAGTCAGAAATGTATGTACAATTGTATTTGAGGAATGTTAGAGAAGAACAAATTGCAAATAAAGCAGATGTTTTAATTTTTTTAAAATTAAACTTTGATACCAGATAGCATAAAATCCGTTAAAGAAAATTGCGTTGGTCTCATGCTCGTTGATCTTAGATTTTTTGGAAAATTTAAAGTTAATTTTTTGGTGCGTCTTCCAACAACTATAATAGTGAAGATAGATATTTTTTCTCTAATGAAATCTGTTCAATGAAGACAGATTTTCGAATAAATTCATGTTCAATTTCTCGAAAATATGAGTAGTTTGCCTGTAATTTTACGCAAAACAAAGGCAATTTTTATTTTTTTAAAACATTTTTGTCTGAAAAACAGTTCCAAATGTTTTCTTCAATATTTTACACGGATAGAAAAAGGGCTGCTTAAAGGAATGACGCTGGTCTCGTTTTCCTTGAACTGTTTTAAAGATCAAAAATTGCTAATGCAAGAATAAAGCGAAAAAGTATGTGCTGTTGAAACATTTGCATCTTTCTATTCATCCTTTGTAGAAAGCATAAGCGTCATGTTCTGCAATGTTAAAGAAAGTAAGATGTCTGCAATTTTAATTTTTGAAATTTTGTTTAAAGTGGCCACTATTGATGTAGAGGACACTTGTGATGTAGTCTCGCTAGTGCCTATCATTCTGGTTTAAATAAATATCGCATTGATTCCGACATATTCTCAAAAGCAGATACATAGTTAAACTCTTTAACAAAATACAAATGACTTATTAAATCAATTAACTACTGATTTTGAGTATTTTATTATGAAACTACCAAGACTGCTGTAATTGTCAATGTAGAGTTGTTGTGGAAGACCAAAATAATGGTTACAAAGTGATTTGTATTCATTTGTGTAAACTAAAATACTGGAAAAATCATCATTTTGACCTTTATTTATTGCTCTACATTCTTATGGAGTTAATGTACCAACCTATTTCAAGCTAGTGCCAATGAACTCAGTGACCTGATCAACCAACCCCACAAATGAGGTTTGTTAACCCTCTTGTGTTGATGAAGTAGTTAGTCAAATATTCGCTGGAGGTTCTAGTTTCGAGTTCTGACGATTACAGATTTTCGTTACTATCTAAATAGCTATGCGGAATTCAGCCGCTGTCTGGACGACGATTTTAGTGGCCGGCTACTCTGATATGAAGCTTTCCGTTTTTCCTATCATCGTCAGGCTAATGCCGGAGCAGAGCCTGATCAAATGGGCCACGGACCGCGCGCGATCTGTCCTTTTTTTCTCCTACACTTTCCCCTCATTCACACACTCTGACTCCCAAACATGCATTTAACTACCACATATATCGGGAGAATAGAGCTTGTTCAGGTTGAGCCGATCCCAACTTTTGAAGATCCCTGGTGGGGGAAATACCCGCAAACTGATGTATAGGCCGGATCACGCCATCCAGCGAGGAAGGAATACAGCCACATGCATTAAAACATTCGTACTGAAAACGGCATCAGTGACCATAGCAGTTAAAGTGCTCGCAAACAGCAGTCACGAATAAATTCATTAATAAAAATATCATTAGGTAGTCAAATATATGTAGTTTTAATGCTATATATACTCAAACTTGTCAAAATGCATTCGAAATTGCACAAAATAATCAAAAAGTAGCAACTGGTGCCAACCAGCCTGTTGCTACTCTGCGCGTGAGTGTTGAGTGGCTTTCTCCTCCCCACTGGAGAACGTGCGCGTCTGGGCCGGGCGGCCCCCGACCACGTCACAGCGGGGCTCGAACCGGCGCGCGGCGCCCGGGGCGGGGCGGGGCGGCGGCCAGGGCGTTGGCGGCTGGGAGCGGGGCGCGGGGCGGGGCGGGTGGGGCGTGGTCTGGGGGCGCGTCGCCGATTGCAGCATCGCCCATCGCCCACGCCGTTCGCTCGCCCCCAGCGTTCACCAGGAAGGAGATGGAGCGAGCCGCCCCGATATTAGCGGTCGCCGCTCCAGACACAGAATCCGTTGCCGCCCATAAACCGTCGTTTATTGAGCGCCCCTTGGCAACACACACACGAATATCCTCAAGTGGTTTTAGCGATAGACCTTGAGAGCAACATAATGTTGACCATCGATGTAAATTGGGGACTCCAGGGTCGGCATTATGATTTTTTTTCTGAATCGTCTTCTCTTCTTACTTTCTCGCATACTTCATACACAGTACAGAGAAGATTACGTAATGCTGCAGCGGTAAACGTAATTTTTTTGTGTAGTGAGTAATATTATAGATCTTTAATATCAAAAAAAATTATCTTTCTTGTGTAGTAAATTACCATCTCTCTGTTGTAAAGTTAAAATCCTTGTTTTGTTGGTCATTGATACCAACAATAAATGGTCTACATCTTGCATTATTTCTCACTTAAGCCATTTTTGAAATTTCAGAAAGTTTTCAACTCGGTCGATTTTAAGAGGTTGCTTTTTTTTAAAAATAATGTTCATGACATTATTTAAAGATTTCATTGAGGAAAAAATACTCTGTTCATCAATATTAAAGTTTTATTCGTAGATCTTTACAATTTTCAAAAATACAGTTCCTCGAAAACAGGATCTGTACTATTTTTATAAGTATGCTTTGCTCTATTTGCAAGAAATGGAGAAAACGATTAAAACCGTTCTAGAGAGAATATTTTTTAATTGCTTCAAATTCACTCAAAATTATTAAAAAATTACTCATGTTTTCCGGAAATTATACCCGATCTCTGTAAAGACAGACATTTTGAAGCCAACCAATTTTTCGATACGAAGCACCCACGAAACTCGTTTTCTGCTCACACAACGTGTTAGAGTTCTCTCTCAGCAGGGAGCAGAGCATGTGTAGTTGCAAGTACACAACTATGACTTCATGAGTGATTCACACAGCGACAGGAGCAGAACTTTCCATGTCAAGTGGATATCTGGGTCAAAACTGGCTCCCGTTGAAGTAGAATCCTTCAAAGCGTCTAATTTGATCGGGAGTTGCTATTGATTAGATTATATGAAGTGGTGCCCTGGATTGAAAAGATTACTTTGAAGTTAAAAACGAGGTATAATGTCATGTGTCAATTGATTTGTGATTATATCCAGAGGAAAAAGACTGAGTCCTTAATTTTTTTAGACAGCCATTAGTAAAGGCTGTTCTTTCCGCTCATGCATTGCGCCCTAAAAGGTCAATTTTGAGCACTAGTGCTAAAAGTGAATAGATGCTCAAGTGTTTGGATAAACCTGTCTTAAGAAGTTAATGCGACCCTAATAAATAAAGCAAAGGAATAATACATCTCTGATTGCAATGAAGTAAGCAATATACATTTATCTGACTGCATCAGCTACTACTGGCCTGAATGTATCATTATGTGATTTTTATACTGACGTTAAAGTAAAAGTAAAGCCGATACGGCAGTCTAAAAATAGTGTATGACACATGTAGTCCAAGTGAATTTATTTTTCTATCGGTCGGAGATTTTTCATCTTTAAATCTTTTCTCAATCTTTCTTCTTTCGAAATAAAATGCCACTTTTACCACTCGTATCATAAATAACTATTCAGTAATAAGTATACAGCATACAGCATAATACGAGCTCACTAGACCGTAAAATAACTTTATGCACTTGATATATCTAAAAATAAACTTTACGAAACAGAGATCAATATGTGAAAGAGATACTAGAATATTGATGTAATCCATTGGTAATTATTACATCTATAATTAATTTAATAATAATTCTTAGAATGGAAGAGTTTTAAGAATCCTTTGACTTGTATAAATTACTATCAACAGTAGTCTTTCATCCTTGGTAAGATAAATAGTAAAAAAATAAATAAATTACGTTACTATAAAATAACATCGAAATTTGTGTGCGTTAATGATCGTACAATGTTCGTTTGGTTATCGGAAGCGGTCTGACGACCTCAATTTGATAGTTCTCTAAATGCAATGTGAAAACCATATATGTCGACGCTGATTTATGTTTAAATTGGGCCGATAAAAAGTGGGGGTGGGGCTTCTCGCGTAAGCATCTAGATTAGAGATGTGTGGTAATGTCATAAAATCCGGTAGAGAATTTATAGTTATTTATGTACGTATCCTTCTAAAGTAGTCTTTGAAGAAAAGGACGGAAGGTTAACCAGGTTCAAACCCTAGTAAAGCTGTGTACAGAACATGTGACATTAATTTTTAAAGACATTTTTATTATTATTATTATTAATAATAATAATAATAATAATAAACATATCTCAAGCTTTTAAAAAATATCCCAGGACCATGGTATTTTGATGATGACCATGGTATGTCTCTGAATCTAATCTATGATTTTCTCTAATTATGATCACAATAATTCGGTATCATGCAGGTTTTCATCAACGAACCAACAAACTCAGATATTTAGTACTAGCAATGCTGAAACCAAAACTTCAGCTCTACCAATTTTAACGTCAGCCGCAGTATTTAAGGACCTCTGACTTAATAGTTTGTTTAAATGATTCGTTCCTCTGGATCTAAATGTTCGATAATAACATACACGAATAACAAAAAAATGGTAATGGAACCTCGGAGTTATACGAAAGATTTCGAGCTCTGACGTAACAGTCGCCAAGGCCTTGGCCATCCCGGCCCCCTATAATTCTTCTATTCCCAGAGGGCCGTGCCGGCCACATCCTGGCGCGAATCGCCTCTTTCCCCGGCAAGGCCGCGTCCACGCCTTGCTCGCGTGGTCCGACGCCTCCGCGGCGACTGTCGCAGCCTTATTTACGCCTTGTCCCGCCTTGTACGGGACATCGGACGCCCGTCGCGCGACCGGATGCTGGCGAGGGGTGTGGCTCGCCTGCGGGAGACAATACGCTTGTTGAGCCAGCGACCCATCTGTGGGTATTTAGATGCAAGGACGAAGAATCGCAAAGCGGCCCGTGGTTATTCTTTTGCTAAGATTACTGTTTAAAAAAATAAAAATAATAATGTGCATGTAAAAAGAGTAACCTTAATTTTGCAATATAGTATTTGTGCACAGTAATATACTCCAATTTTGCTTTCTACTGGTCTCCCGATGTGTGATATTGCATAAAAGAGTGTGTTAGGTAAGGGGACAAGAAAGAGGAAGGAAAATTCACGTGCGGTCTGTGGGCCTTTTGTTAGGGAACTGCTTTGGCTTTCGCCTCGTGTTGATCCAAAGAACCATGCAAAAGTACCAATGAGAGCAGTCAGCTTTTGGATGTTTCTTCCAAACCGTGACTGAACTCGACCTATCTCACAAGCTAGTGTAGAAAATCCTGCCACCGTCGGGACTCGAAATTAGAACCTCTCGGTCAGATACACTCCAGTGACATCAAATATGATCTGAGCCACCACTCCCAGTGATACGAGGAAATGTTTTATTAAAACACTTCCATTCTGGGAATAATAATTATTTAACTAATTGTAGTTGTTAACAGTGGTCTATGCATTATTAATTTTGAATTTGGAATAGCCATCCAGGTAGTGTCAAAAATCCTTCCACCATTGAGATTCGAACACTAGGACCTCTGGGTCACAGGTCCCGCAGTGACCATCAATCTGTCAGTTGAGGCCGTGAGCCAACCCAGCCGGTTTCTAAATGCAGGAGTTTAAAATTCATTATAGTGGCAAAGATGTGGTTGGTTCGGTTAGTTAGCAAATGTTGAATTACTACAGTACATTATGAAACGATGATGTACTGATGGTTATTAATACACGACTGTGATATTATGATACGAGCGAATATCCTAAACTTCACACGGGTGTATTAGTACCCATTACATCGAGTTTCATACTTTTTCTACGACATATGGTAACTTTTATAATTTAAACTTTTACATTGAATTGTTTCGTGGAAGATGTCACATGCAGAATTCAGCCAAGGTCATCTCTCGGAAAGCTCCCTCCCTAGCACTGGTGGCTTTCGTTTACTGCACTAGTCAATTAAGATCAAAGTAAAATTACAATAAAATTTATTTTAATATTCCACGAAAACAATTCCTAATGGAAATAGAAATTACAACTGAGAACATAATATAATATCAAATGAATTTTAAAGTACATCATCGAACGAAACCTTTAATAGAATGATGATAAATTAAGTATCAATACTTGGTTTGTAAACTTCTTTGTATTTGGTCAAGAACCTGTATCATAATGAAATCTGTGTCGTAATGAGTATCAATATGTAAGTGGTTGCAGCCATCAAATGACAGAATTATACAATGGGTCACGCACGAGTCGAGCTTGTCGTCATAGCGAAGCGAGAACGACAAAAAGACGAGTGCGAAACGCAATGCGTCAAGTAGAGGAATATAAATTAAATATCAAATACCTAAAAATATCTCACTTGTACAAAAGTAAATGGATTCCAGTCAGTCTCAATGTTGTAAATAATACCCAAAAACGTCAAGACTAAAGACAATTGCGAATCGTTATAGATGTTTCGCATGCTCTTCACGGTGTCCAGCACACGCTTCGCGATGTTGGGATGTTGCAATGATGCGATTCGCACTCTGCGAATAAAATAGCTTTTCGCACACAGAAAACCAGCACAAAACACACTGTTTTGCGCACTGTGTGTTAAAAAATACTTTTCCAGTAGAGAACAACCCACTCTCTAGCTGCGGGGTTGGTTGTTATTGCAATCCATCCCCGACACGCCCCGTCCAATTCGCACCATGGTTTCGGAATTTGCTTTGAACGGAATTGGAATGGCGTGGCCTCCCGAGCCGCGACGTACCGGGGGGGAGGGGCGAGGGGGCCCCAAGGCACGGCCGTGACCGCCGAGACCGCAAGCACCCCCCCCTACCCCGAGCAGAGCCCCACTGGGGGTCACTGCCAAGCCAGGCTGCGCCTCGCTTTCCCACCTCGAGGGCGCGCCCCGAGGGCTCTGCTCTTTGGGCCTTTACTCTTTGAAATATTGGCCATTGTTATTTTATGAACAGTAGAAGCTCGCGTGTCCGACCGTCGGATACCCTAACCAATTTCCTTTCCCTTCTTTTTTGGCTCCCACTCTATGCCGACCCTTGCACATTGTTGTAGTACTGCAATATAATGTAGGATACTATATACACTATTATGTAATATTCGTCAATATATAATATACATCATAAATACACATACCATTAAATACAGTTATATGTATTCGTTTATTTAAGTTTTAACTCATTTTGATTTTACTGATACATTATTACTTGTTATTGTCTTCGATGCGGAGTACAATATTCGCTGTATAACTTACCTGGATCCAAAGAATGAGGGAAAATGAAAACAGTTGAATATTGCTCCATGTTTCCTTACGGTAGAAATTATGAGGGAATATGTGAGAGAATTATAAAAGGAAATTAAGAATTATGAACAATTAAATTTTTAAAGTATGTATAGGAGAGAATGTGAAAAGACAAACCGATTCAAGTTAAGATCTAGTTAATTAGTAAATCACAATCAACAACATTAGGTAAAAAAATAAGAGTTCGTATGTAGCACGGGCGTTAACTGGTTCTAATGATCTTGGGCGACAAAATACTCTCGTGCTTTTTCGCCACTCAATAATTAGAAACTTTATAACTCTCATGGTGCATAAATTACTATTTATTGTTACTTTAATTGTCCGACCAGCCCTTTGACCTGCTCTTCGACCATGTCCCGGTCTCATAGTCGACAATTTTGGTACTGTGCTCAACAACAAGGTTATGATTATAAAATTAAGAGTGATATATTTATTTGTAATAATAAAATAGTTCTTGTTTAATAGAAAGTTGAGTTATATTGAAACCTTCTCTTCCACATCACCATTCCCCGGTCGAACATCTGCACGAATTTATGAGAACGGACATCCTTTGAAAATCAGGCCCTCCTCTCCAGTAGTTAAGAATTTATGATAAGACGTTTAAAATGAAAAAGCACGCCGCTGTTTCTTTTTAATTGCAGATAAATATTTCTTATGTAGTATGGTTGAAAAGCGCTTCGTTTCTGCACAGCAATTTCTTCCGATTTTTCATCTTCTTCAGCAACCAGAAAATAGTGTTCTAACTTAAAGTGCTGAAGATATGTCTAAGTATTACTAAGAAGCTTATGTTGGTACAACAGCGTATTATTGTAATATTGGTGACGTTTTCACTCAGTTAAAATGTTCAAACTTTTATTGACGGGTCCTGGTAAAGCAAACATGAACAAATCTAGTTTCTAATATAAAAAAAATCCTCTACACATGGAGTACCAAGATGCCATGTTTTGTGAGTCCTTGATAACGAAAGGTCGATTGATGGCAAAATGTCCGACTGTCCGCCCGCGTGTCCATGAGTGGCCAATGCTAATGCCTAAACCCTTCAGCCGATTTTCTGCCAAATTGATAATCCCCGATCGATCTGAACGAATTTGTAACTTAAGAAGTTTCAAACGGATATTTTGAGTTTTGGAAATACATTACAAGAAGCCTCGAAAACACGTTTTTTATATTTTCTCAAAAATGGCACCCACTCCAAAACATTAATTTAATTAAAGGCAGAAATAATAGAAGTCGACACTAGCAAAAAACTAGGAAGATGGACAATAAAAGAAAAATAAATAAATTTACAAATCTTTTTGAAACCCGCCTAGACCAATTAAGATACTCCAATTACAACAACCTTTTTTCTCTGACTACACCCAAATTCAAAAGGTCATAGTTTCCATATCTATGGACTGCGGTCATATGTATCAACAAGGATAAAACAAATATTCACCCATTACTACTAGAATTAAACACTGCTTATCACTTTTTTTGCCCATACAAGACAGTGTCAATAATCAAATTCCTTAAATATAAAACAGAGGCCGACGAATTATCGGAATCAGCAATAATTTCGAAAAATTGAAAACATTGGTATTAATTCAGTTGAACCATTTTCTATCCTAAACGACCATTCGTTCAGTTTGGTTTCAAACGGAATCACTCTACCACCCATCTCCTCTTACGATTAACCGAAGCAATCTCTAAAGAATTTCATACCAACGATCACACAGTAACAGAATTTCTAGGCTTACACTACGCTTATAATAGGGTCTGGCACGCAGGCTTCATAAAATGCATCGACTGGAAACTCATTTACATGAAGCCCTGGGACATTTTGAAAAAAACTGACTCCAACGATTTTAGTTATATTTTGTTGTTGGTTAGTGTGACGGACGTTTAAGAAAATAGTTAAGGCTTCATGGTTGTTGAAAAAACGAATTTTTAGAAACTTGCGAAAGTTCATTTTTTTCGCAGTCTTCCTTGTCTATTGAAAATTAAGATTTTTCCCTTAATCAAATCTGTCCATATTTATATATATATATATAATATATATTATATATATATAATTATAATATATAAATATAAAGAAATCGCAAAATGTGTTGGTAAGCGTATAACTCAACAACGCCTGGACCAATTTGGCATTTTTTTTTAAAATGTTCTTTGAAGTTCAAGGGATTTACTTCTTAGATGCACCTGGCTGTACAGGAAAAACGTTTTTGATTTCATTAATATTAGCAACGATTCGCTCACCAAAAGAAAATTGCACTTGCACTCGCTTCTCGCGGAATCGCAGCAACTTTGCTTGAAGGTGGTCGAACAGCCCATTCAGCATTAAAATTGCCATTAAATATGCAAAGCAATGAAACTCCGACCCTGCAACATTTCGAGAACTCTGCAATGGCAAAGGTCTTGCAGCAATGTAAATAATGTATTTTTGGGTATGAATGCATGATGGCCACATAAAAAATCTTTGGAGGCTTTAGACAGAACCTTAGATATCTACGGAGCAATCATAACCATTTGGTGGTGCAATGGTTTTATTGGCTGGAGATTTTCGTCAAACATTGCCAGTGATTTCAAGATCAACACAAGCTTGATGAACTCAATGCATGTATAAAGTCCTCAATTTGTGTAAACATGTCAGATACTTATTAAATAAGAATATGCGTGTCGAGTTGCAAAATGACCAATCTGGAAAGATATTCTCTAAACAACTCATTTGCTATTGGTAATGGCAAATTTCCTATAGAACCTGTTAACTGACAAATAACTTTGAGGAAAGTAATGCAGCCAGTGGACTCGATCAAAAGATGAACTTATTCAGAAGGTGTTTCCAGATGTTCTTCAAAATTACAGAAACCATGATTGGTTGAGGCGGAACGAGCTATATTGGCTGCAAAAAAAAAAAAATAGATGTAAATGAATTAAATTTAAAAATTCAAGAACAAATTACAGGCGAATCGAGGATATATAAATCAGTTGATTTGGCTACTAACCAAGATGACGTAGTGAACTATCCACCAGAATTTTTTAACTCGCTGGATTTGCCAGGATTGCCACCTCACAATCTTCAATTAAAGGTTGGATCGGTAGTTACAATGTTGCGAAATATCAGCCAAACACGTTCTTTGCGCAACGCGCCACGGTTAACGCATAAAAAATTACTAAACAATGTGATAGAAGCAACTATACTGAAAGGAAGTATAAAGGAGAAGACGACTTCATACCGCGCATCCCAATGATTCCGACTGATTGTGCCATTTAACTTTAAACGACTACAGTTTCCAGTTCGGCTTGGTTTTGCATATGACCATAAACAAGTCCCAGGGCAATCATTAAGTTTGTGGTATAATCTGGAAACCCCATGTTTCTCACATGGTCAATTGTATGTTGCCTGTTTCCCGTGATGGAAAACCATCATATTTGTTTTGTCTATGTGCCAGGTAATCAAACAAAAAATATCGTATATCACAAAGCACTACAATGAAAATAAAACTGATTTTTGTTAATAATTATGATTCACATGATTAACAATAAAGCGATTACTTACTTTAAATACTTATATATGTTTTATTTCATTATATTTCTTATTCACAACGCGCCTATCAACCAGGGTTGACGGTTCTGTTCAGGAGAATTTTCTGCCAGACTATAAAATATGTGGGGGGAAAAATTCACATTACAAATCTTTTTGACAAGACGAAGTCTTCGGACCGCTATATATATATATATATATATATATATATATATATATATATATATATATATATAATATTATAAAGAGAAAATAAGCAAGAAATTGCTTTAACTACAAACTAACCACATTTTGAGTAAAGTATTGTAGAGACATCGAAAACCCATATATTTGCTCCGTAGGAATGTAGTTGCAACGTGGAGTAGATTTATATTCGACCGACTCATAACATATTTAGTCGTGATTAGAGAAATAATATTATTATTATTATTATTATTATTATTATTATTATTATTATTATTATTATTATTAATGTTATTATTCGAGATCGCCAAAGGCAGTAGTGTAGTCGTGGTCTCTGTCCAGAAGATCGCGAGTTCGAGTTCCGCCTCAGGCATGCGTGTCTTTTTGTACGTGTGTATGTGTGTGTTGTCCTTCCACCCTCACTATCATCATCATTTCATCTTCCATACCCCCAGAGATAACCCTAGGGGATAGAAATCGGATCTAGGTAAATGCTGTTCCCGTGAAAAAATTACATACACCTGCTGCCGAGATATTGTTGCTGCGCCCCGGTAAATAGTAAGTAAATAGTAAATAAAAAGTCGGCCTATTCACAAGCCAAAAAATAAATTAAAATAATAATAATAATGATAATAATAATAGTAATAATAATAATAATAATAATAATAATAATAATAATAATAATAATAATAATAATAATAATAAGAAGAAGAAGAAGAAGAAGAAGAAGAAGAAGAAGAAGAAGAAGAAGAAGAAGAAGAAGAAGAAGAAGCAGAAGAAGAAGAAGAAGAAGTAGATGAAGAAGAAGAAGAAGCTCCCTATAATTCCGCCCGTGGGCGCCTGCGACGGTGGCGCTGCGGGTGGAAATCCCTAAAGGTATCGCGTGTGCGAAGCAGCGTGCTGACGGACGGCAGCGGTGAACGGCAAGGAGGC